CCTAGCGGAGAACTGTGCGACGGCAGGAGGGGGAAGGTCGCGCGGGATTGGGCGCGGGAGGGGATATACAGCTGGGTCGAACGCGCATGAGTGGTGGGGGGAGTCGTTGGCCTCGGGAGTCTTCGTCCGTGAGTAGTCTCGCCAGTGCGTTGCGGAACGCGTTCTTGTTGGTGTCTCTTCGTTGGCGTTCGTCCGTCCATCCGTCCGTGTATATGTGTGTGTGCGCGAGTGCGCGCTTGCGTTGCCTCCCGTTCTCGCGTCGTCGTGCTTCGCCCGGTCGCGCGACCGGATCGAAAAGCGACCGGTCAGAAAAGGACCGTCTCTCTTTCTCTCTACCTCTCCTTCGTGAACACGTGTGTGTGCGCGCGCGCGCGCGTGTGTGCCTGCCAGTGCGTGCGCGCGTGTCTGTGCGTACGTATATGTGTACGCGGGCGGCGTCGTCACGCGGCGATGAGCGTCGATGACACACGGGGGACTCCGGGCCAACTTCCTCTTCGGGTGGCGCGCGTCAGGCAGCCAGGACTCCTCGCGGGCGTGCACGCCCGTGGTCTCAGGCTAGCGGCACCAGGACTCGCGGAGCGACGACGAGCTGCACCTCGGTAAGTGCTGGACGCGCAGGGCAGGCGCACTGCCTGTGTATATATTATGGCAAACGTGCGTGCACCGGGATATCCCGGTGGTGATACCGCATGTATCTTTCGACGAATGTCCTTCGGAGTAGTCGAGCAAATCGCGATCGTGTCTCGAGTGAAATTCAAAGAGAGATGGCGCCATTTTCCGCGACACGTTTGAATTTTTGTACGTCAAACATTTTGACATCAAACGTGTCGCGCGCGTCCAAGGGGTAGATTCTGTTCAAAATTAATAATTAAATTAACGGTAATTTAATTTCGTTAAATTGTCAATTTTTACCGAAGAACTTTCGCTGAAGAATATTTTGTGTAATGCGAAACATTCAGTTTATTTAGTACTTTGTGTTGCTAAAGTCAGTTATATTTATTTCAAACACCTATTCGTTGTTCATTACCATTTCTTTATATCTTGCATTACATAATACGAGCATTAAAAGATTTACTAACTACTTTTTATTTTTTATCTCTGTTTTAACAATTAAAGAATAAGCGTTTCATCGCGCTAGTTGCAATTTTGTTGATTTTGAATTTGAAAAACACGTACGTTTTTCGCGGTTGCCTCGATATTGAAATAACCGCCATTTTCATCGGCGCGAGCCGCTGTGTCTGATTGAAAGGATACGGGCTAATGACAGAGAACATCTTGTATATTTATGTTGCTAGTCTCCTGTATTTTCATCACATTCGAACGCCCGTCGCCTCTCTGCGTTCCGAACAGAATGGAAGGAACATGATTAGCGAGATGGGTTTCTGGCGGTGGGAGGGGAGGGGGAGGGACGTGAACTTTGCCGCGTATGCGGCGTGCGATCGACGTGACGAATCTGGCTGTAACTTGTCGTAACGTGTTAGTTTCCTGTTTCCATCAAATCGGCGCGCAATCGTAATTTCCGATGTCGGGTAACGGCAGGAGAATTTGCATTAAACAGATAACAGGGGAATTTATTTGTATCGAATTGTACCGAAAAGGGAGAGGAACAAAGAAAGATGACGTTCGGCGCTTGCTGCATAAAATTACATTCTACATTCAAACTCCGGTATGATCGTTACGTTACAATGGAGGGATTATACGAATGATCATAACGAACTGTATACAATGTTAGGATCAATTGTGAATCCCGCGATAAAATCGTTAATCGATCACGGATTCCAACACTCTATATATTTTATTACAAGGTTATTATTAGTTTTAAGTTAAATCAATTAACGAGCAACGCGAAACCGTTTTAATTTAAAATAACATACATATAGTGACATGTTTAAAACGTTTTGTATCTATGTATAGGAGAAACAAGAGAGAGTAAATCGTACAAAATATATAAAGATAATCATCTGTATATAATTCGACATATTTTAGTTCGACAGAATTATGAAATTAATTTAAGCATTTTTCATATGTGCGAGTGAAGTCAGTTGTAAAATGTTCACGACTTTTTATCCTTGTTTTTTTCATTGAAATTTTTATGACGATAAAAATATCCTTACAAAACTACCTTTATATCTAAATAAAGATCCTTTAAATTCTTTGCAATAAAAATACCTTCACAGACTGAAATAATTAAAAAGTCATAAAAAATCCTCCGCGAGCGTGGTGCTACGCAATCTCGCTCGTTGTTTGGATATACGTCGTTTTATGCCAAACAATTTGCATAAATTACACACGTCTTTTAAAGCTCTTTCGCGATGGCGAAGGACGAGCTAGTTCTGCCTCGTCCTTCGAGTTGAATCGATGCATCGGAGAACGCGCCAAACGTAGGGAAATATTTGCGACAGAAATTGGTAACTCAAGGCTCGTCAAGACTCAAGGCAAAACTCGCAAACACGATTGCGAAGTCGAAGAGGAAACCCCCGTGCGCATACGTTGACATTCGTATTTTCCCGTATTTTCCGAGGCAGACTGTTTCATTACGTTATATGCCAAAAGAGCCATCGAGACGGATACTCGTTTCGTCGCGATGCGTGTATTATATATAGAAATAATAATCGTTAAAGTCACCATATACATCGTATACCCATCAGATATAACAACAGGACATTATCGTTACGTGGATACATCGAGGATTAAATTAAAACAGTCGCGGGAATTAAATCGCATTTAAAGGTAACAGCGGTTGGCAATTTGAATTCGTCCCAGAATTATGATACGTGTATCGGGAATGAAAAATAACATTTTGCGATTTAAAACGCTTCTACGCGAGCTGGTTAATATACAGCGCGATTTTAGGGAACAATTTCGCTCCGTTTCGGGATAATTTTATGTGATTCAGCGCGAAGATAGACCTAGCTTTCTTTCCGGGCCGGATCTTTCAGTTATAATTAGATGCGGTGCAGAATGCGGGGGTTGTCCCGAAATTTCTGACTTTGCTTCTCCGACTAAATGTGAAACTGGGCCAGAAATTCGTAATACATACTGAAATCCCAATGGTTAGCGCGGCACACGCGAATAACATTATGAACCTCAGCGCTATTATTTGAATAGTTTGATATGTCGGAAAAGATTGTCTGAATATCTATATCGAAAATTGTATATATATATAGAAACGACGGTCATTACAGACAGATCTTAGCTTGCAATAGATCATATAAAGGATTAACAAAAGAATTTTGAATTATACATACCGAGACTGTTCTCAATTGTAATAAACGTCTCTTATGAATAATGTAACGGATATTATTTAAATGTAATTCGTGTATCTCAGGCGCAAAGTATTCTTAATAAAAATCATCATCGCCGCGCAAGTTTTATAAATCTAGGAAATAAAATTTTAAAATTATTCACGAAAATTTCGATAAAATTATGACAAATATTTTTAGCATATTTCGAATTTCTTAGCTTTTTGTAAGTTTAATTTCTAGAAATTACAAAGATATTTCACAGAGTTAGTTAGACCATTTTTGCATAATTACGTATAACATATCATTAAAATTACATCTTTCGGATTCACAGAAATAAGTTTTCCGATATAAATTCAAAACAATTAACGACATGAATAATTTTATAGAATATCTCAAATGAGAAAGACGTTTGTTAAGAAGTGAAATTATAACATATTATCTGATTACTGTGAATTGCCAATTATACAGACAGTTTATAACACGAAAAATATCAATCAAGTCACTCAATGAATAAAAGATCGAAAGTACACATAAAATATGAATCAATCTCATTTCGTAATATTTCTTGTCCCTTGGAAATTATATATATCGCGATACATTTTGGTATTTTCTCAGATGTTAATTTCGTATCTTTTCGTGAATGAAAAATTGAATTGGCTCGTTTCGATTCACGGGGTAAAAAAATAGGTTCTTCTGAATTTTTTATGTACAACGTAATAGCGCGGTAACTACGGAAACACGTTCGGCGGGAACGGCGGTCGGATTTCAGGACGCGTAAAATTTATCGCGTTTCTAAAGAAGGTTCGATCGGCATCGGGCGGCGCGACGTGCCGCGTCGACTCCTTCGTAATTATTCCGTTCGTCCGGACTCTATCTCTCCCGCTTGTTGGACATTACGCAAAACGTGTTTCGCTGGCGCGCGCGTTGCGAGGTAACGGTTCAGCGAGGCGCGCTCGACGGAAAATTATCCGATCGCGTTCGCCGGCGAACGCGAACGACGCGCTTACGACACGCTAATCCCCTGGTGTGCCTGGTGTTCTCGATATTCCCCCGGATATCATGCTGGAATTTCGGTGACGTACACGATGACGAGATCTCCCCTTTCACCTTCCCCCGCTTACTCCGATCCTGATATATAATAAATAGAGTGTCAAGCGTGGCGTGTATAACAGATGACAAGCTGGGAGACGCGCGCTCGGGTGTTGGGCGGCCTCGTGAGACGTTCGTGTCGAGGTCGGATTTCATATTCTATTGTAGTGGTCGAGACTCATGAGAAAATTCTGAGTTTTGCGCATGCTAAGATTCATCTATTCTCTTAAGAAAAAAATACCTGGTCTCGTGCCCACGCGGATGAATCATTCGAAGTGAATGCAACGGGAATGGAACGGGTTTTCTTCGACTCAAGGCGAATTCATATCGGACTTGGTGAT